CTGATTTGAGCCAAATTGGCATAAGTTTGCCTGCATTTCCTACAAGGTATATTTCAGCACAAATTGATTCTAAGCTTAGACCATGAATAAAAAAAATTATGATCTTAAAATTCATTGTAAATGCATTTGCTTTTTCTGCACTGCTACTTTTAGATTTTCATCTCCTAAGATGGCTGTTTAAGTATTGGTATTTTCATCTCCTAAGATAACTGTTTAATTATTGCTCAGGTCGTTTCAGCAGCGGTGTAGGTTTGATTCCAGTATGTTGTCTCTTGTTTTGTTTGTGCATAATTGTGCTTTTTCAAATTATCACAACCCTCGATCCGTGAAAAGAGGGATCCCAATGTAGGTATGTCACCATAAAAAATTAAGTTTATTTGATTCTTGTTGGCTAAGCACCTTTTAAAAGTATTTGATGTGTTCTCGTGAAGTAGAGGTTGCATAAGAATATACAATACTCATGCATTTTATGGTTGCAGCTTTGCAGCAACCAACCAAACAATTTTGCATCTTGTATTCAAGCTTCTGTAAGAACCTGAGGTTTCAGTCTTGAAAAAAGAATCTGAGGTTGTTTGAGATTCTCCACTTGGGACTTTGGCTTCAAGCTTTTGTTTCACTTTTGATGTTTTTGTACTTATTTACCATTATTTGTTTTTGCAGATTTGATTTCTACCGTGTGGTTGCTTGTTTGTTTCCCATAATCACTACTGATTTTCCTTCAAAAGTATCCATATGGTAAGTCACAAGAAAGAAATGAATTTAGTTATTAGTTGCGAGATTCATAAATCAGAGTGATTGCAATTAAGAGATTACGTGTTTGTTTTTGGGTCTATGTTTTTTTCAACGAAAACTCTATCTGCTCATGAGAATGGGGTGACTAATGATTTCACCTTGGTAATGCAGGAGTCTTTATAACTTGTTCTGCAGATAAACGGGTGGATGGCAACCATCAGAGTGCTGCTAAAATTGCAGAAAGAAGCATCTTTGTTTGATCTTATGCTACCTACTCACACAAGCCACAACAAGCGAATTTTTTAATACATTTACCATTTAAACCGAATGGCAGAATCTCAGCCCCCGAAAGATCGGTATCGGCAACGTACAGCGCTGAAAAGGCTACGGAAAATAAGCGCATCAGAGACTCTAATTTATTGCCTTTTTCTACAGGAACATTGTAAATGAAAATCCTCTTGAAGATCTAAGAAGAAATAGGCTCAGAGTTTAATGATTTGAGATTACATCAACAAGCTCGCGTAGAGCTCTCATAGTTTGATGGTATAATTTCCGTCATCATAGCCGTAAAAATCAACAATTTCTCCTACTTTTGAATGGAAAGCGACAAAAGTAAACAAGTTTCAGAGATCAAAAGGAGATAAAATTTACTTTTGAGCGTCGCCTCAGAAAATAGAGGTTGGAGAACAGATCAAGGATTTTGCTTTTGCGGATGGTACGGACAATTCTAGGTGAAAACGCCGGAGAATAATCAGTAAAATTCAAACATGACAGGAATGGAAACGACGTCGACGAAGACCGCGGCGGATGAGGATGGAGGGAAAACGGATGTTGAATGGGAGGCAGGAAGATTGATTATAAATAGCTAAGGGTGACGAAACCCTAATGTCCGGTAGATGGCGAAGCTACATTAGGGGCCCTCTTGTACTCTGAACTGTCGAGCCCATCCCGTAAGGCTGTCGAATTTAAATATGTTGGTCCTCTGTTTTATATTCAGGAATCGTCCAGCAGATATTCTACGTATGGGCCTCTGGCCCCAAACATCCATTTTTTGGTCCAATCTAAGTCCACCTGGTTGGTTTAGTTGGGCTGCTTTTGATGCATTTCTAAAAGGACAACTGTTTGATTGGCCTGAAATCGAAGGTTGATGGTTGTTTACGTACTATTAACTGGATCAAACAGAAAGAAAGCGTGTAAATATAAAAATGTTAATTTATATATATATAAAAATATTAATTTTGTATTTTTTTAATATTAATTTTATTAATTTTTAATTTTTAATTTAAGAATGTTAACTTTTTTATTTTAAAGTTTGTTTATCACATAAATTAAATGATAATATTTTGAAATAGAAAAAATTGAAAATTCATATCTTTAAATAAGAAAAATTAAAAATCAATATATTTATTTAGAAATTGATAAAATTAATATTTTTAAATAAAAAATATAAAATTGATATTTTTATTTACACATTTTATCATCAAACAAACATTCAAATATAAATGTCATGTTTTGTCACAAATGGCTAAAAATTTAAAATTAAAGATTTGAGCTTAAACATTAAAGTAAGTGAGAAAAAAAAGGGAAACAAGAGGATTATATTTTATTATATAGTCAATCATATGATATACCAAAAATATACTGGGGATTCGGGGTTTGATCTGCTTTGTAAGAGGGTTATAGAATAATTTCTTTTTTATTCTTGGAACATAAACTATGTCCTGTGTTCGTTTCAATAATTTTTCAGTCACTCAGTTTGTATGTGTTCAATGAAGTTGTGTCCTTTACTTTTAAAAAGGGAAAAAAGAATAAAATCCAGGGGGGCAGATAGTCGTTCGATCCTTTTACTTGTTTCTTTTATCGGTCCTCCTCTCTTTCTTGTTCATTTCCAGGTTCTATAATTAATTCCTTGCTTTTCTGCTACATGACTAGCTTCTTTACTTAGTTGCCGAGCTTAATTAGCATACAATTTATACCCTCCTTCTTGCAGAGGATAAGAATCCAAGAGTTCTTTGCTTCATTTTAAACTCTGCTTTTCTTGTCAAAGAGGTTTAGCATTTTGAGTGATTGTAGAAACTCTCATATAGCTTGCCTGCATGTCTTTGCTCTATTATCTCAAACTCCCTAAAAGGCTAAAATCGCTTACAAGATTTTCCCAAAAGATCTCAGGGAAAAAAAAAAATCAACAAACCAACTGAAATATACTTTCATTGCTTTCTCAATTCTCAGGCATTGAAAAAACCATCTCAAGTCTGAACTGCAGGTATGTATTATTTTTCCGTTTTGTTAAGAATATGCTTTATGTGTTTATTTATGAGATTGCAGTGATTTATTTTGTTCAAAGCTGAAACCTCCAAAAGATAAAATTTACAATTCCATATTTCCATTGCTTGAGAGTATAGTTCTAGTATTTACGAATTAGGAACTTAAAATCTATAGCCTATCATGAAAGAAAAAGAAAAAAAAATACTCATGAAATACAAGAAAAATACTAGTAGACAATAGAATGATTGATTGATTCCGCACACCCACTAACACACCATATTCTTTTGTCTTCTCTTTTGCCAATAGACATTCCACAAACTATTGAATTGAAACAAAGATGGCCAACCTCAACCTTGGCCCGATTGTAGATGCCACTCATGAACACCTGTCTCCTACGGTCATGTCTACAACAAATAGAAATACTTGTGTTTTGGATATTGATTGATTTTTAGATTGAATGAAATTTTTAGACAGGAGTCGAAGACACTGAATCGAATAAATTTTGATTACTACTCTGGTAACAGATGATACTGAAGTCCTTAGTCAAGCTCAAAGGCCAATTTTTTTTTTTTTTTTGTAAACATTGATTTTTTTTTAATTTTTATTTTGAATTATATAATATAAGATTTATTTTTTTATTTTTTAATTTATCTCATTTATATTTCATGTAATTTAAAATTAGATATTTTTATTTTCATAAAATAGATATTAAACAACATTGAAACTTTAATTAGTAAAGTATTAGTAATATGCTCCTCAAGTGATTTAGATTAAGATTGATCAGTTACTGGGAAAAATATTAACGAGTAGTTTAAAAGATTAGATTATAAATAGCAGTAGACCCAAAGCCGAATGCGGAAGGACAAGTTTCATTTGAGCTTGGTAGTTCCAGAGTAATTCTCTTTTCTCCAAACTGCTGTAGCTAATTAGATGGCGACTGAGCTTATCCTTGTCCTGTTGTTAATGCCATTTGTATCCAGTGATTGTTAGTTTCTAACTTTTAACTGTTAATTTTAAATTATTATATCAAACCACTCTTTAAGGTAAGATGGAGCTGTTACTAGTAACAATATTAAGGAGTTCCTTAGTTTGAAAGATCAGATCATAAATAGCGGTAGACCCTAGGACCAATGCGGAAGGCTGAATTTCAATTGAGCTCAGTATCAGTAATCAGTAGTCCACCTGAACGGTGAAGACCGGATATGCTAGGGCCTAGGGTTAGGAAAGTCGAATTTCTAAATATAATCGTCATTGGATTTGGTCCTCCATTTTATCTTCACGATGATCGAATGCTGCGAAGAAGGCTAGTTTATGTATGGGCCTGAGGCCTTAGATGTCCATTTTCTTGGTCCAACCTGAAATCCACCTCTAGTAGGTTGAGCCCAAATCGAAGATTGAGGAGACTGTAAGTGCATTAATAACTGAAACAGACAGGCTTTACAGTCCACAAATATTCCGAGTACAACTTTGAAGGCATGAAAAGAGCAAAAGAACTAGAAAATTACAACAGTGATAGTAATATTAAATTAGTGTTGATCTGCTTTGTGAGTGAGTTGGAGAATGTTAGATAGAAACAATGTAGCATGTGTGTCACATGTACCATACTTCGATGGGAAAAAAAAAATTCTGCCGTGGGTCTCATATTTCGGTGGTGTGGATAAGAAATTTCTCTCTCTAATTATAGCTGTATTTTCTTTTCAAGCAGCAGGTATAGCTATTATTGAGAGTGGAGGCCACATTACATTTGAAGATATTGATGATAAAAACAACGTTTTGAAAGAAATGTGGCGTAGAAAAGGTGCATTGTTATTGGGCTTGGATTGGGGTTAATTTGGGACCGTGTATGAATTTCATTAAACTTTCGTTACGACGCATCTTATCACACAAAATGGAAACGTAAGAAATGACGCAGGAGTTATCGGGACAAATTGTCGTACACTAAGGAACTCTTTTCGCGAGAAAAAATCTACAAAACGGTGCATTACAGACTATGAGACAGAGGTCAAGTCATAGCCCCTCTCTTACAAGAGAGGCGATTTTTCAAAGATCCCAATTAATACTGACATGACATGCCAACTAAACTCAGAATCAATACATCAGATCCAAAATTTTAACTTAAAAAATATATACAATTCTAAGCAACTTTAATTTAAGTATCATTCGAAGGTTTTCTCGTCTTTTTCTTTATGGGGCCCCCAAAATTAGCTGGATACAATTACTTAATAAAATATCAAAAATAATTTGTAAGTTACAGTCATATCGAACGTTAGAGGTTATAACTGGAAGAAAAATTAGAAGTCATTGTTACCTTTTGAAACTGTGTAAAAACTAAAGTAGTTAATATCGTATCGGTATATGTATCGATTTTGTTACTGAAACGGTACGTATTGGATATCAAAATTTTTCGTGTATCGTTTCAGATTTATCGTTATAAATATATATTTTATAAATCATATTCTTATAAATTAAAAATAAATTTAAAATAATCAATTTTATAAAATATTTAT